TTTCCTTGCTTCCCACTTCTCGGCCACCCTGTATAGAACGGTTTCGCGGAGTCACGCGACGCGTGTCACTCGGGACGAGTACACGCGCGAGCTGATTTCAAATGTGCATGCGTAAGGACGTGTCGACACGCATTGCGTAATCGCGCGCGAAAATGATTTTCCCCATGCCTCAGGTGGGATCAGGTGTCACGAGCTCGAACTCAACCGCGGGAGATCCGCGAGTCCCCACGTTCGTTCTTTCTTGAAAGAGAGAAAGGGGCGGAGGGAGAAAGAGAGGGGAAAGCGTACGAGCGAGCGAGAGAAAAGGAGAAAGAGCCACAGTGCGCACACCATGGACATAATATATCTAGACCGAGCCTTTATTTGACCAGTGGGGGGTAGAGGTTCACGTAGAAAAGGACAAACTCTGTTTTGTACTATTTCGTTCTCTCTCGTTCACATGCGAACAAGAGAGAGCGAAGTAGCACAAAATAGAGACCCTGTGATCAGAGACTGGCCATAAGAGTTCGTCAAGCTCGCATTCCTGCGAGCCTGTGTTTCTCTCTCACTCGCGGGAATTTGACGAACTCTTATGGCCAGTCTCTGATCGCAGGGTCTCTAGCACAAAACAGAGTTTGTCCTTTTCTACGTGAACCTCTACCCCCACTGCCCAGTGCTCGGTCTAGCTATATTATGTCTATGGCGCGCACACAATGCGGCTTTGTCCCTTTCTGAAGGGACGACAGTTAGAAAGAGACAAAGCTACTCGCTTTTAGCATTTTTACTATAGCGTAAGATACAGAATTGACCCCCAGATTCATGACGTTGTTTATTAAAAAAACTTGGCGCTGCTAAACCAAATGTTAAATCCTCCCTTACAAAAATGTTACTCTTTCTTTTGTGCATACGTGTGCGTGTACGAGCGTGTGTTATGGATTAGGGATTAGAATTAATTGTAAGTTTAGACTGTACATTTCAGCGGTTCAGCAGCGCCAAGGTTTTTTAATAAACAATACTGTCATGAATCAGGATCGATGTGTCCCACAATTAAATTAGACAAGGCGATCTTTTAATCAATATAAATCGCCACCGTCCAACGCTCGCTGCTTTCGGTGGCATCGTGGAAGAAACACGAGCGGCGAAGCGCGCGATTAGCTGACGTTTGCATTTCCGATTATCGGCGTTGCGCGCTTGCTAAGTCAAACCTTGGTAGCCCCGCTAAAACGTTCGTTGTGCAAGTATCGTAAATAATGTCGCAGTTAATACCGAACGCGGGCCGTGCGCGCAGGTGCGTGTATCATTAGTTCTCGCAGATGAAGATAGCGCGGGATCGTTCCTACCTGAGACTATCAGTCGGCAGGTGAAAAGAGTAATTAGCGTAACGTGTATATTAATTAGACTCAAGGATCCGGTTGCCTAACGACTTGTTAAAAATGCCGTCTCATTAACGCACTTAATGCATTGCATTATTTCTTCGTGCTCGAATTCAAATATGTTGAGATATAAATGTACACCGTGTATACCTTTTACTCCCCCGTTTACGTTCATTTCGAGGTTCATTTTATCCAGTATAAAGTGTAACAATGGCCGCGTTCAGCAGGAAAAAGCTGTTTTGCAACTGTTGCAAAAATCCTGAATCTAATTGGCGCGTGCTCTTAATTGCGGCAGAATCCAAGAGCATACTCCAATCAACTTTACGAATTTTGCAACTGTTGCGAAGCAGCTTTTTCTGCTGAACGCGGTCAATAATTCATCGAACACTCGGCCAAGTACAAAGCTGGTACTACACTTGTCGCGCGACAAATTTTTCAAGCGTGTTGACCGGCCGCTGATTAGAAAAATTTGCCGTGCGACAAACGCAATAGCCTTTAAAGGCCATTCTACAATTGCGTAAACGTAATTGTAGGGTTGTAGGAGTAGAAGTAGTGGTAAGTGTTGTACAACAAAGTAATATACAATAAAGTGAGATACGTCATAATTGAAGTGAATAATTGGTAAATTGTTACGTCCTACGTCGTTGCAGTCGTGAAAGATGAAGTTCAGCCATGCTTTACAACAGGCTTTACAATCGGAAATGCTAGTTTAAAACTGTGTTTTACAACACTGTACAACCGCTAACAACCACGTTTACGCAATTGTAGAATGGCCTTAAAAAGCGTATCCAAGCCACGCGCCACTCGCGTTACGTTTACGCCGAAAATGTGACTCACGCTGCCATTAAATTCCCATTACCATGTAAACGTCGCGCGGGATTTCCCTTCGCGTGTGAAACCTCGTTCCAACTAGTAGGAGAAAAAAAAACCGCGGATACTACAGAACCCATTAGCGCGGACGAAAGCCGCGTCGTCCGCGGGGAACGGCGGAGCCGGTGTCTCGGGACATTCCCGGATCGATCGGCCGCGCGCTGGCGAACGCGGTGCACTTTGCGGTGCATGCGACGCCGCGAGTCGCGCCGCGCCGGAGGCCTCGGCGGCGAGGAGACGCGTGGCATCGGCCGCCCGCGGATCGATCGGCTTAGACGCTTAGAGGCGCAGGGGATCCCCCTTATGCAACGCTCCGCGGCGCGCTCCCCCGAGTTCGACGTCGGGGCCTCCGCGACGGGATCCGAAAAAAACAGACTCTCCCGTAACGGAAGGGGGAATTCCTCGAGCACGCGTGCTACACCCTCGGTCTTTCGGACACCGCGCGCACGCGAGGTTAATCTCGACGCCGACTGAGCTCCCTGGAGAAAAGTCTCCGAGGCGAAATAGAGCCGTGGCATTTCGTCCCGGGCCTCATCGGCTCTCTCTCTCTCTCTCTCTCTCTCTCTCTCTCTCTCTCTCTCTCTCTCTCTCTCTCTCTCTCTCGCTCTATCTCTCTCCCTCTTTCTCTCTTTCTCCGCTCCTCTCTCACCCTACGTCAGCGTCGAATTAAATCCTACCTGGAAATCGTCATCGTCCTTCGGCGTCGCGCGAACCTTTCGTTCGGAATCGCACGGGCGAATTAGCTGGTAATTGTTGTCCTCGAAAAGAGAGAAAACGAATTATATACTCCCCACTCCTCGGCCCTACTACCTGGCGTGGAGAATTTATTCAGGTATACACGGAGCAAGCCGAAAGTCCACGGTGTGTCATCTAACTGCCATCCGGCGTCATTAATACGACATTAATTCGACGTTACGCCGCGCGCCGAATGACACAGGGAGCTCTTGCGAAAAGGAACGCATTCACGGCCGTGAAATTTGATAGTGAAATCCTCGGTAAGTTTGGTTCATAAAACTTCGAAAACCTTTCGCACTCGTGGCGAGATGATTTCTTCTTTTTCCCCACTTTGACACACGGAACACTAAAGTCTCTAGGTTATTTAATTCCAACGATCTCCGAATTCTTAAAATTGAGACTTGTTCGATCTTTTCAACTGGGAACTGCATTATCCAAATCACCCGAGTCAATGACCGCTAAAGCCCGGCGAACGACGGTAATAAATTCAATAAGATAACTAACGGTATATATCACGCGTGTCGCGCTTTTTTATTCTCAAATTTATGTGGCTGTGGAAAGAAACGTGGAACTAACGGTCGCCGATGCAACCTGCGTACCCCATCGAAACTTGAATTAATTAATTCATACTACAGGCAAATATCTCCTGACTTTTAGACACACCGACGAATAAAGGGTTAATTCGAGCTGGAACTCGAGGGCGTGCATAATCGCCTCTCGCTCCGCTCTTCGTCTCGCGCGCGAAAGAGAGAGAGAGAGAGAGAGGGGAAGGGAGGGAGGGAGAGAAAAAAAGGAGGGGGAGAAAAAGAATCGAGGGAGCTGGACACTGGGAGTTTAATTTAGTGTCCGAGTGCACGCGGCCTCGGTATAAATATTTTTATTTATCCGAATGACGGCGGGCCGCGGAAATAAGCCGGTAATTTACGTCCACGGACGGGGCGGGTGCTCCGGTGGGAATTTTTCGGCGATTTATGGGATTCCGGCGCGACCACGAAAGTCGGAGAATTAAGGAGCACATTGTGCACGGTGGCGAATCATTCGATAAACACGCGGATTAGGATATTCGGAGGAGACGCCAAAAGAGACTCCGCCCCCTTCTGTCTTTTCTCTCGTCACTCTCAGTCCTCGTCTTTCCGTCGGAAACCCGAGGCGAAATTTTGGTACCGCTCTGACACTTTTAAGGATAATTTACACCTCAGCTGATCTATACACCTGCATAGGCCAGCGATAACCTACCTTGATGACATTATATTTTTTTTACTCCTCCCTTGAGTCTTTAATTCTAAAAATTTACTTCAGCTCCTACCTAAAAGGACC